CGCAATTTGTACTGTTTTCCTTTAAAAAGCTCTGCATGCCGTTGATTTTGTTATCATTTACACAAGTTAGAGATCTAGCTCAAAAAAGCACCACATCTGCTAGGTCCCTTGATACTTGGCTCTTGGATTCTAGGGCATCTCACCATGTCACCACTAACCTGACCAACCTTGCCTTACACTCTGAATATCATGGACCCGATGAACTTGAAATAGGTGATGGAACCGGTTTGTAAATTACACATGTGGAACACTTCACACTTTCTACTCCCTTTACCTCTATTCCCTTGCATAATCTTTTATGCATATCTCATGCTTCCCACAATCTATTGTTTGTTTCTCAATTATGTGAAAGTGCTAATGCCTGTGTTGAATTTCACCCTTCTTATATTTTATTGAAGGATTAGGTCACGGGGGTGACGATGGCACGAGGTCCAAATGTTCATGGGACATACCAATTCCTTAGAAAAATTAAAACTAGGCCTACTACCTTAGTAGGAGAAAGAGTTTCGATGGCGAATTGGCATTGTCGTTTAGGTCATCCATCCACAAAGACCCTAAAATATATTATTAATATTTATTAATTATCTATTTTTAATAAAAATACTCTTTCTCCATGTGATTCATGTGCGTGCTCCAAAAGTCACAAATTATCTCTTTCCAACTCTTCAATTACCTGTCAATTTGCACTAAAACATATTTATTCTGATGTTTGGGGCCCTACCCCTATTACTTCCATTGATGCCTACTCCTACTTTCTCCTATTTATCGATCTTTATAGTAGGTATACTTGGATTTTTCCAATTAAATGCAAATTTGATGTTGCCTTAAATTTTCCCCAATTTAAACAACTTGTAGAAACCCAATTTGGGCTCAAAATTAAGAATTTTCATTATGATGGCGAGGGCAAATTTATTGCGTTGCAAAACTTTCTATCTCAACATGGTATACCTACTTTTACAAATCCTCCATATACACTTGAATTAAATGGCATAAGCAAAAGGCACAGTTGCCGCATTGTTGAAACAGGTTTATCTCTACTTTACACCTTGTCTTTCCCTCCCAAATACTGGTCTTATGCTTTCCAAACGGCAGTCTACCTAATTAATAGGTTGCCTACTGATGTTCTTCAATCTATTTCCCCTTTTGAAAAATTGTTTTGTCACGAACCTAATTATCTCAAATTAAGAGTTTTTGG